ATTTTTAAAAAATTGGTTTACAAAATGATTTTAAAAAATTAAAAAAATAAGAACAAAACCAAACAAGTCCTGCATATCTCTTGTATAATCTTATATTTCTCGTGTGTGTTTGTGAAGTTTTTAATAGATTTTAAAAATACATGCAAAAATATATTAGGGTTTAAATATTTTCATATTTATTTGTGTGTAGAAACGTTCTCACTCCACTAAATACAATTAACAAATGGAACACATGGTAATCAAAAGATTAGCTTAAAGAGTGATTACTAAGATTTAATTCAAAAGCAAGGGATCCCAAGTTTTCTAAATAAAAACGAGTTAAAATTGATCAAAATCTTTCATATTAGAGTAAAAATAAGTTTCTAAAGTATGAGATAGTTCAGAGGAGTGAAAGAAGTCAAAAACGGTTGAAAAACAAAACATGTGCTGTAATTCAAAGCCATGCGTCATGGGTCGTGCATGTTGCGCCGCGATGTGTTGCTCTCTGTACCACGCGCCACGGCTCAGGTGCCATGCCCCGCGGCATATTGTATGAAATTTCACTGGTTCTACTGTCATTTGACAGCAAAAATCAGAAAAACTTCTGACTCATCATGATTCTCCATCCGAATGACGAGATCTAGGTGTCTACGAAAAGCTTTTTATATGAACTAGCTAATGGCATGGGTTTCACCCCCAAAACAAGTCGCACTAAGAAGTTGGACGTTCAAACACATTTTAACCACTTTTCAATACTTTTACACAAAAATGGGTGTCCAAAACCCTTAACAAGCACCAAAAGCTTTTCCTAACACCTGGATCATGTCCAATGGACCTAAGACTATCAGTATAACATATCACAAGCATCGAAACATTAGTATAACTAAAATTCACTCCTCAACCCTAATTTACCAAAAACAAAGGAGAAGGTAATTTGCCATTGCATTTAATTCAAATCATTCAAAACATGCTCAAATTTTCATTTCTACACTTGTACTAATATTTTAGCCCTATAAACACACATACACACACATATCAACATACCCAAAAGCTAGGAGCCCAAAATACAATTTTAACATTTCCAACAACCAAAATAGTGCAAGTATGGTGATATACATTCTAGACTTGGCAATTTATATGCTATTATACAATTAAATCTAAACTAAAGGCATACAAAAGGAATATGCTAATTCCCCACCTCCTTAGTCTTCTCCCTCTTAACACTAGAGCTGGAGCCTGAAAAATATTAAATAAGAGGGGTGAGTCTAGTCACTCAGTAATCAAAGTTAAACCTACCCTATGCAGTTATATATCAATTATAAAATAAATACATGCATAAGGAGATCAAATATGTAAACAAGTCCACATATATTACAATTTATTATTTATCACTCTGTAACTTCTTTACTCACATAATTAGGTGCATTGTTACCATGTTCTCAGATATTTGAAATGACCCATACTCTTGCGACCTGCCACAATTTAACACGTATGACACGTCATATATTTGCTTAGGCAATAATCAACCAACATTATATCCTCTTTATTTCTTCAAACTAAAACTGTGGGTTAGAGCTCCGTTCGTGTCATTGGACTACCCAAACTCACCAATCATGAGGTATGACCCGACCAAAGATCATAAGACTCACTCTCGAATCACAGTTTTTTCCATTTTTAAATCCCTGAGGTGTCTCATATCCTAGGCTACTCTCTTCATTGAATCGGTGGAGATAGCTAGGTTATAGTTCCTCGATAAACTATGGAACAGTCCCTCGACAAACAGTGGGATAAGACTATACCCCCGTGCATCGGAGGTTAGCCTAAATATTATATAAATTTTCTCTACTCCTGAATTTCTAGGTGAACTCCCGTCACTGATCATGCCATAATCATTACTAACTTGTTTTCACCTTTTTGTTTTCATATACTTACTTTTACAACAACCACATTGGACTCACGACCTTGTGCTACTCAAGTGTGTATTCTCATTATTTTCTCAAAATTCATTTCTCATTGACAAACAATTATCTCTACATGTCATCCCATTTATCTTTTTTTCCAACAATAAAAGCATGCTCATAGTTAAGATCCTCTTGACTTTGCATTTTGCATTTTCAAGTCAAAAGTAACTTTTTCATACAGTTGATGAAAGTAATATGCACCTTTTACTATAACAGTCAATTCTATACATGTAATATTCATAATTTGTATTCAACAATTAATTAATATACAACTACCTAAAGTAGAGTTTTTCTCCGGTTACCTCAAACCTTTGAGAAGTCAAAGGTTTACCCCTCAATCACCTAGCTTTCAACTTTGAATTTTCACTCCAATAGATGACCAAGAGTCAAAACTATAATCAACCAAATTAAATTCCATCAACATAACAAACTCAAACATTTGAACCTTCAATCTTTATTTTTAAATTGGCCAACATTCACTTTACAAGAGGTGAAACTTAACCATTAAATTTAATAATTACTTTTAGCCCTTAATAACAGTAATGAGCCATTAAATCTCCATTAATGGCATCACAACCTCAAACCACCCATAATAAATGGGATTTTCGGACATTAATGGTGCCCCAATAACCTAAGACACTAAAAATCATTATACCTAGGTTTAGATACTCTAATTTACCTCCATTAACTCCATTTGAGTCAACAAATTTAGATCCATAACCTATATGAATTGAAATCTCACTTTTACTATCGAACTCTAACCATAAACTCATAAATGTAGAAGAAATGGAGAGATTAAAGAGTATGATACTTGGGTGTTTGTAGCCTTCAAAATGCTCCCAAAGTCATTCCCAAGTAAACCCTAGGAGAGTTTTGGCATGCCTCTTCTTTCTCTCTTTTCTTTTCTCCCTATTTCTGTCTCATTTCACGTCTGATAAACTATAAAAAATGGCCATGCACCGCAACAAATGCACAATATGCTGCGATGTATGGCACAAAGAGGTCCTCCTTCGCTCAAAAATGGCTCTCCATTGCGACGGATGATCTACGCGTCGTGACGTGTGGCACAGTAACTTCAACTCTTCCTTTTCTTATCCTTTTGATGCTCAGGTCGCCCACCTCGATACCAGACCCACAACTAAGGCTGAAATACCACTAAATATAATTATTAGACCTCTCTGGCCACATACTACTTCAACTTACTTAATTACCCTAATTAAATTTAATTAATTAGGAAATTAAAACTCAAGATGTTACATGTGCAAAATAACTTAGTTAAATTTTATGTTATTATCTTATATGACATTTTGCATGGAAGAATCTTTAGTTCAAGTTTTGACTTAGCATGTGAAGAGCATTAAGGACACGTGATTGAAACTTAAATTTGGACCTAAAATGGCGTGAAACACAAGGTTAGTAAAGCACACATGAAGCTTACATGTATTTACATACAAGGGATCAAGTTGATTTGTCAAAATTCAAGATAATTGCCATGTGTTTGAGAAGTTTGAAAGACAATTTCAGATCTAATTTGAACATGGTTTGGGCATGAATTCCAAGGTGTTTAAGGGGAATACAAGTGCTTAACATGTGCATGCATATATGGGATTAGAAGAAAAATATTGAAATTATCGTCCAAGTTGACTTGCAACCTAAACTACCTTTAACCTTACTTGACCTAATGACTTGTAATTAGTTTTTTAAAAACTTGTTTACCAAGTCTCCTACTCTCAATTTCATCCAAACACATTTAGAGAGTCTTAGGATTGAATTTTCAAATCATTCACTTACATTTTCACATTTCAAGCTTTAAGTTCATCAAATTCTCTTACTTATCTCTCTACACTTCCACTCTCTCTCCTTCACATCTCTCAATCTAACCATCCAAATTCTATAAAAATTATCTCATTCTCTTCCTCTCTTCTTCCTTTACATAACCTAAAAGTTTTCACAAGCATCCAAGTCTTGCTTCCTTAGGCGATTTTCGAGAGAAGTTTTAGCCATGAGATTAAAGCTTCATCTTGTTCATCACTTAAAGATGTAAGGCTAAATTTTTGAAATAGCTATTATGAGGAGGAGGAAACCTTGAGATTGAATTATTTTTTAGCTAGTTTTAAATTTCTCTCTCTACTTTTTCTCTTTAGAATTACAAATTTTGTATGACTCTTTGATCTTATAATCTCAAGTGATAATTCATATAATTGAGAGAAGCTTGTTGTAACTTGAGTTTTGTTATTTTGAGTGCATAATTTCAGCCTCCTCAAGTTAATTCATAATCCTGGTTAGCTTAACAAGTTAAGCATATTTTCTTGTTTGTCATAATCTTGCTAACTTGATTGCATGTGAATATTTTCATGAATTATAATCTTGAGCATGTTGATTCCATTATATGTGCTCGACCTAATTAACTCATGTTTGTAACACTTTGGTTGAGTTTCTTGCTAGCTAGGCTTTGGCTTATTCTAAAACCATAATTTTGGATTAAGGTTGGTCAAGGGGGTGTCTAAGTTTTGGTGAATATAACTAAGTGACTTAAACCAAAGAGAAGAGAGAGGAGATCACACTAGTTAAGTTGTAATCAGACAAAGATAGGTGATCAAATCTATATAGGAGTTCCTAGCTTGAATAGGGTTTACACACACCCACTCCATTCCCCTTTTAATTAGGTTAATTAGCTTAATTAATTTTGAGCTTTAATCTGTCTCAAACTCCATTAACTTGCAGTACACTTCAAATCTAAATTTTTTAATGAAGTCTCCTCATAAAAGAATGACTTAAGTTCACACTATCACTACATTAGTATAATTTAGTATTATTTTGTTAAGGTGACAACGGCCTTAGTTAAAATTTGGCAACAAAAAAAACCTTTAAAAAATCAAGCTATGACATGACAAGTTTCTGCTCTAAATTGCTACCTTTGATTAAATTACCCATCCTGTGATTACTACTATGACATCTTTCTGGTTCCACACACAAGAAGGAAGCTCTTAAGAAGATGCAGGGAAAAACAAAAAAAATAAAATAAAATTTCTATGGAATTGCATATCCAAATGAGTTGGTATTATTGAAAGAACAGCCTCATCAGTGACAAACTGGTCGGCTCTTAAAGGCAAATTTGTCATAAAACACACATGCTGTGAATCTGCCAGAAGGAAAGTATTATCAGTGTTGATGATTGCAATACTTCTATAAAAAATGGATAACCAGGCCCCACACAGGGTAAGCTAAGAGAAGGAGGATGCCAATGGTATTAGATATTCCATAGCTCTGCGTGAAAGAATTCCTGAATCCACCAGAAGCCCTGACATGTTCTTGAAGCAGGTAACAGCCAATGATAAGGTCTATCACTATTCCAACCCAGCTGTGCCTCAATGCGAGAGCAAAGAAGTTAGGAGCCACCAGCAACAAAAGGATCAACGAACCAGGAATTTCCAGCCAATCTACATGCATACATTAAATAGCTTCAGCCGACCAAATCTTATCAGTTTGTTCAATTTTCCATCCTATTTACAAGGCAACACCAGTTTCGAGCCAGCAAATTGGCCGGCATTGAGTAGTTCAGTTTCTGCTATATGTTAACGATGTGTCAGATGGTGGTGGGAATTTCTGTTTTACCCACAAACACACTTTGTGTGGCATAATTAATTATCAATTATTAATATCATATAAAGGAGAGGGGCAATAACACCTTGGCTTAACCTTACCAGGGAAATGTCGAGGGAAGAAAAGTCTAAGGACAACGGCGATGAAAGCAATCCATTTCCCAACCTCTCCTCTAAATGAAACAAGTAAAAATTTTAGTCAGAGAAACAAAATAAAGAAATGGGAACCAAGAAAGTGCTGTGAGTTATTAACTAACAGAAATGATCACCTTAAAAAGTGGAAAAGTGACCCTGGAAAACTGAAGAACACGTAGGGAACCAATAATGAAGTCAGCATATTTGATCTCCAGTTTGTGCGATCCAGTATCAATAAGTAACTGGAATAAACATTTTTCAGACAAGTCAAATTGATGTGAATTGTCTGCCGTCACTGTTTATCAGTAAACGAGCTCACCAGCAATTTTTCCCCTTCAATCACCAAAGAAAAGAGCGGCTGACCGCAATAAAGTATATCAACAAACCAAGAAAAGGACATTCATGAATCTAAATCAAGTTAAAAGGTCAGCATCGGCTAAGGGATGTGAGCCGAGAGACATACATAGCAGCAAAGGAGGCTAGCCATCTAAGAAAAGAAGTGCCAAAGCGCAAGCCTCCTAGCTTGGTGGCATCGTTGATGAGCTTCTTGGCTGCAAGTTTGAGCTCATATACGTCGGAATCTATCAAAGTGGCCATTGCAGGATCCACTTTCAGCGCCATATGCTCCATCCTGCCCATCCTGCTTCTGGACTTGGAAGAAAAATGCATTAGTCTCTCACAATTTATTTCTTATAGAGATTTAGACAGGTAAAAAGTTGAGGAAAAACGCCCTTAGATTAATATTTACCTCTTATTTTGAAGTGGAGGTTGTTTCTATGACTAGAATATAGATAATGAAGTGCAGCGAGTGAATGAGGGTGACAAGAAGATTGGCGTGTATGGGGAATGAAAAGCCAGTTTCAAGTTCAAAATAACTCGTGGAGGAATATGTAAACAGCGCGAAATTTCGGATCTCAACTGTTTAACTCTAACTGCATGGGGGCTTGCAGGATTCAGTATTCACCGTTTCTAGGTGACGTGCCATTGGAGCTCTGACACTTGTCACACCATGGCTTCTTGCTTGGATTTGACCCAAATCTGTTATTGTTGTATTCAATCAATGGCATTCCCAGATACTTAAAAAAAAAAAAAATCCCTGGGGGGTGGGGGGTCCTAAAGAAGTGCGTTGCTTGGTATTTGGCATATGAACTATCAGAATCAGCACCGATTTTTCTGTCCTTATAATTTGGCCGGAACGTCTGTCCATTGTGTCCATTGTGGGCACCTAGACAGCAAATCATGACAATGTTGCCACAAAATTAAGTACGAAGTTAACTTTTTCTCACATAATAAATTGAAGGGATCAACGCCTTAAAAATATTATATTAAAATATTGGAGAGAATATAAGTTTCATTTTTAAAACTGAAAATACATCTAGTGTGATTTGTCTTTTTTTTTTTTTGATGTAATGCATTTAATTCTAAAAATTTTAATTGATGAAGGTCAAAGGTAAAGAAGTTCATGTCACAGTAGCTTCTGTAACAATGAGGCTGTTCTCATATCCCATCATCTGTTTTTGAAGACATTATTACATGGATACAGTACAAAATATTATTTATAATTTATTCAATAAAATTATGGTAATTCAATCAACTAAACTTTTATATGTTATTATTTTTAATGATTTTATTATTATGATAGAATGCTTATTTAATTTCTTACTTATTTTCTTTCTACTATTATTAATGAGAATTAATTTATATTAAATAATATTTAAATATTATGTTTTTATTAGATAAATTATAAATGAAATAATATGCTAGGTCCATTCAAGATTTTCTCATCTTTTTATGCCTTCATTTAATTATGAATTGGCTGTTTTGTTAATATACTTATGAAAAAATGTTGTTCTGGGCCAGTCGGAGTTGGAAGTTTTTAACAAAAACATTCCATGTCCAAGATATTAGCACCCTGTCATGTCAAATAATAAATATTTGACTGAAGATAAAATCAAAAAAATTGGCTGTTGTAAAACACTCAAATCGTGGTCGATATTTATCCACGAGGATGATCCACTTATCTTTGATGCGTGGAATATGTTTTTGAGGGGAACCAATCCCAAATTTGAATTAATTGATCACAAATAGTTTGAAGGCCTTTGCAATTAGAGGATTGTTTTTATTCTGGGGTGGTGGGGCAAAAACAAAAAGTAGACGTTCCAGAGAGGAAGGGGAAGGTTTCCATTTTCTACGTTAACGTTACTTTTCCTCGCACTAAAGTTCAATTCTCCCCGTGATAATAATAAAAATAAAGACAGTCTTGCTCTCAAAAGAGGGCGCTCCCGAGTCAAACCTATGGTCCATGAAATTCTTCATCCGTCATCATTATTGCTGGGCGGGTAGATTTATAGAACGAAGTCAAAGAATAATAGGTTTGACAGATAGCACCACATTTGGATAACAGATTTGCTCAACAAGAGAAGGGAAGAATCATGTCTGCAGCAGCCTCTCACTGAGAGAATGAAGGAGCCTTTTAGGGGCTACTCTAATCCTCAGCTGCAAAAGCACCTTCCATTGGAAGCAATGATTATGGGCAACCAACAAAGCGTCCAAAGCTTGAAAAAAAGAACCTGCGTTTTAATGTCCCCACTATGGCACGAATTGTATCCTTCATGCTCTGTCCATCCACATCACCTCCAAAGCCGCCTCATTTCGACATTTACCAAATCACCCTAATAATTGGCCTTCCCCTGTTTGCCTTTTTCTTTTCTTAAATTGATCAATGCTTCATCAGGAAGACACGTGGCGGCAAATTACAGTGAGATCTAGCGGCACACATGCGGACCGACTCCACGGGATTGGCTGCCCTACTCGCCACGAGGGTGATCCCGACGCTGCTGTTGCTGGGATCGTCCTTGACGTCGATCGGCGACCGCTGATTCATGAGAATCACAGACTTGCGTTTTGAATGTGCAACCAAATTTCTTTCTCCAGCCGCTTCTTTGCTGACGCTGAGGGCTCGATTTGTCAATCTTCTCCACCACTTTCTTCATTGATGAACATTCGCGTTCCAGCTGATGCACCCGCGTCCTCATGCTATCCATGTCCAAGCGTAGCACCTGATTCTCCCTCACCGCCACCCGCCACGCGTTGATGCTATCCTGCGCTCCTGCCACTATTTCTCCGTCACCCTCCTCTTCCCTTCGCAACGCCGCCGACGGCCTCCCTGGCTCTGAAGCCGCCTCTGCTGCCATTAGGGTCCCTGCGATGGCATGTCTCAGCTGAAGCTGCTCGAAGAACAGCACTTGAACCACTGCTCGTAATGGAAGTCTCTCGTTCTGTGCTGCGTGAGTGCACGCTTCTAGTGTCAGTTTCTGACAGTCCAGTACTCCGCATATATTTTCCCTTTCTGCCTCCGAAATCCGTGGATGTGCCTGCAATTAAGGAACAAAAAAAAATTTTGGTACATGAATGTGTTTGATTGTGTAATTGTATAACTTTGAGACAGAAATTGTGTGAATGAAAACCTTGAGAAAGACATCTACGGCGCGATAGAGACCATCGTCGAAGAGCCTGGCTTGACTGGGGAGAGAGAGGGCGAAATTGTAAAACTTATCGGGCTTGAGGTTTGCGTCGGAAGCTATCTCAGAAAGATAGCCGTCGATTAGTTTCCCAACAACCATCAGCGACGGCGACCTAGTGACACCGCCATCACCATCGACTGCAGCAGCGTTTCTTTCTTCTAAACCGGCCAAGAAATGGGCTAGAATTCTTTCCACACAGTCAACATCGTAGAGCGTTTCATTAAGGTACGAATAGCTCGGTATGAGAAGATCGTCTAGTGTGGCCTCTTCGAGCTGCGATCCTATCTTCTTCTCCAATGCATCTCTGCCTGCTTCGGAAACGTCCAATATATTGGCCGTTCTCAATAATCCGAACAGAAACCTTGTTGCCGTTGGGGACCCGGAGCTCTTCTTCAGGGGCAGATTGGAGAGTACAAACTCCAGCAGCTCTTTCTGTTCAGCCTTTGAAACAACAGAAGAGGACGACGACGACGACGACGATGTCGTCATTGGCCTTCTGCTCGACCTTGAAGCACCTGGAATGTGTTTCTTCGCATAGTACATGAGGCAGCTTTCTATTATATCTGGGCTCAAATCTGCCCCTCTCATGGCATGAATCAATTGTTTGAACAGGGGCAAACTCAGAAGCCCAAGATCCTCAAACCAAGAGTCCCCTCTAGGGACGCTCTTTCTTCTTCCTCTGGACTCAATTCCGTTCCACAAGACCTGCTTCGACAAGGAACTCCGAGTGGTGGCATCGTTAGCTCCGGCGTCAGTAACCGGCCATCCAAACAAAGCCGGATTGGCCGAGGGCGCTCTGGAAACAACGGAATCTATACACCTCTGTGGAATGGCTAAAGTCTCCGACAGAGGCATCAAGCTCTCGATTGATTTTAGGGCTTTAATGGAGTCCTTGATGTTCTTGAGCACAGACTGTGATAAGAACCTTTCTGTCTTGGAGATGAGGTTGTCTTCAGAGTACTCTTCGGTCATTTCAAGGAACTCCGCGGCACAACGGAGAGGAGCCACATTGGATGCGGACAAATCGATTTTGACGCCGTAGCAGAATTTAGCAGCCATCTCGAAGGCTTCGGAGCCGCCAGGGAAGTCTGTGAATGTTATATGACAGTGTTCTTCTGCAATTTCGTCTTCTTCCTTCGCTTCTTCGATGCCAGATGCTTGGGTCTTCGCTGACGGGGGATGATTTGATTCTTGTTCAGTTATCTGCTGGTGGAGCTTTCGACTTTTTGCCATTAGGGGAAACTGATACACAGTGGACAAGTTTCAGACGAGATACAGAACAGAATATTGTCGGTATTGTTACTGGAATAGGTTTTGCAGGTGTATGCAAAAGAAGATTCATATTCTAATTTGTACGCTCACCTTGTGAAGGTGGAAGCTCATGTCATCCACTTCGATAATAATGTCGCTGGGCAGTCCATTAGTGCAGAACCTGAGAAGAAAAACTGTGAGAAAATACTGCGGAAATTACAGAGGACGAGGAAAAGGGGTTGAAGTAGACAGAGTAATATTCAGCGAACCATGCTTGCCCTTTGGAGCTAGACGTCTCCGCTTCTGCCATTTCTCAGCAAAAAATGTGATTCTCCAGAAATCTCAGAGAGCCGGATCCATGGAAATTAGACGATTTTAATGATGTCAGTTGAAATGGAATCCAAAGACACAGAAAACTTTGCGAGTATATATGAGAATGGACGGTAAGAAATGTGACTGAGAAAAACGAGAACAAAAGTTGGAGAACGCCCTGAATTATAGAAGGCGTACAGTGGGTGAAACGGACTTGACCTGCATAGCCAATGGAAATGAGGAGAGAGGATGAGAACGAAAGCTATAATAGTGTTTGCCTGTGCTCTCTTTTGAGTTTCTATGAAGGAAGAGAAGAAGGGCAATAATAATAATAATAATAATAAAAGAGGCATTTAAAAAAGGTGAAACAGATAGGAATCCACATACTGAAACCGGACAAATGGACCATGAACAAATTCCTAAAAAGGGGATCACATTTGATCGTTTTCCTTCCTTTACCAAAACCACTTTTCATTTGAATCAGATCAGAAACTCATCGACTCTTTCTCACTCTGGTGACTCAAGAGACGGCGAATGGCCTTCATGAAAAACCATATTCACCCAAAAAGCTACATCACAATGCTCGCCTGCTGAGTTCTATCTAGTTTTTCCTGTAAGTGATAGAATCTCTTGATCAGAATTATTGTTTCTTCACCTCTTGAGCCTTGACTTGTTTCCCTTCGTTCAACACATTAAATTCGTCATGAACCGGATATTTTATACTGCTAATATGACATTGTGATTTGAGGTTCATGAATTGATGGCCAAAAAGAAGGTTCATAAATTTGGTCCCAGCACAAATAAATAGCCACATGTAATTCATGTCATGACCCTTAGAAGTGAAAATAGGTCAGACACTTAACAAGATCTATAGCTTGATCTATTTCAGGTTTACCCTAACCTATTTATTAAATAGGCTTAAGTAAAGCTAAAGCTTTTAATTAAGCTTATTTAATTAAATAAGTCAAGTTTATTTTTTAAAACCTAACTTATGAGCCCAACAAGCCAACATATTTATATATGTGTATATATATTATATACTATATTACAAACACATTAATTTCACTATATAATTTTTAATCAATTTATTCTTTACTACTTTTTTTTTGTTTTTTTTTGATAAAGTATTCTTTATTACTTTTAATTATATTTTCAACCATATTTTACTTATATATTAATTTTAATATTGTCACTTTATTTTTATATTATATTATAGTTAGTAAATTCTTTCAATTTTTATATATTATAATTGATAACTTATGTTATATATTATATATTATAATAACCTTGAAGTATATTTAAAATGTTTGAAACTAAAATGCGAGTCTATTTAAAAAATTTTATTTTTAAGTAGGCTTTTAAATGGGCTTGTAGGTTAGGATAAGTTTTAAATAGACTTAAGCCTGAGTCATAAAAAAAAACTTTATATAAGCTTCAAGTTAGACTCAAGTCTCTGATTTACCACACAACTTTAAACCTATTTGATTAAAACTTGACTTAGTCCAGCCTATTTTTACCCTAGTGGCCTGGAAAAAGAAAAAAAAATGTTACTCAATAACCCAAAAATGCCCTCTGATCTTTTCTTCCTTATAATTTATGGCTCCCTTTAATGGATAAACAACCAATGTGGGGTACAGTATTACAATCATACACGGAAAATGAAATGGGAATACTCAAGATTTCAAACGGAGAGGGCTGAAAAAGTGGACAAATATTAAATTATTGGAAATGGGAAAATTGTTCTGAGTGAAACGATAGTATCCATGCTAATAACAATTTGAAGGCTTATAGAATGATGCAAGGGAAAAGTCAAAACAAACCCCACTTACTCCCTTTGAGTTTCAAGGCCAGGGAGGCGAGTTGCTGTAAGATTGACAAATTTTTAAGAAGGGAGTGTATATCTTTATTGAGGCTTTTTCCTATGCTTGGTAACTATTTTAGGACATTTTGCGCAAAGAGATAAATCGATGGGGTGTTAGCATAGCCACCCTTTTCGGCATCCTAAACCTGAAAGACTATGAAAACAAAAGAAGCAAAGACAAAATTTCTCAAAGTCACAGCTAAGCACATGCAGAGCATGTTTGATTTCAATTTGCAAGACCCATACTCACACTTGAGTTAAAGTAACCCCGACTAGCTTGATTTTCCTAGGCTCAAGTTCCAGTCCAGACAACCAAACCAGAAGGGGAAAAAATAAATTCTACCCCTAAACCCATGATTTAGCCAAAACAACTATTAACTTTTTTTAATTCTGCGTTGAAGCTAAACTCAAGTATTGCAAACTTTTACCGAACACCTCGTAATTGATGATGTGTGATTTCATTTGTGCGCATGATTGCGGCCACTTCCAACCACTTCCAACTCCGATCATAATTTGTGATTTCTTTTGTAACCTTGTTCTTGAAATTTATAATTTCTTCTCTAAGCCATACATGCCAATACAGAGCAAAAATGTGGGGTAAAGAAGGGAGCACAAATCCATGTCGAAAGAATGAAAAGCAATACAAAACTACGGAAGCTTAATGCGCCAAGTTGAAGCCTTTAATCACCAAGCACAATAACAGGAATTTCTTCATTATTAATTGTTCCATTAACATACAAAAGTGAAAAAACACGAAGGTTGATGCTGATCAGAATAGTATATTAGTTTAAGTTGACCAATGCTGCATCAGAACGTGACATTCTTTTTAGTAATAAATGACTCTACCATCAGCGCAAGTATATCGCACATAGCCTACAACAGAACTAAAATAACTACCACAGACCAGCATCCAATGCTAAGTATCTGAGAATTTCCATCGCCTGCAGAAAGCAACATCAGGGAAAAGCCAATGCCATCTTTTAGAATGAATCAATATTGAATATTTGGAATAAGCCATTTCACCCGAGGCACTTCACTACACACAAATATATGCTCGTTACTCAATTCCGTTTGTTCTTGCCCCTCAAAAGCAGCTATTATCCGGGTCCAATTGTGCCATTAATAAATCACATGCATTCTCACAAATGAATTCCTTTTAAAGTAATATCTAGAAATAAAGCAATCACTAAAGAAAAATGACCTATTCCCGTTTCACACCAAACGCAATTAGAAAAAACCAGCTTGAATTCTGTCCTAAGGTGGTGAAGAATTGAAAAGGTTACTTGACTTCCCAAGTGCGTTCTGTTGAGTGTTGAATTAGCTAAGACACAATTTTTGGAAGTGAAGGAAGTGGTACCTTCGCTGATAAGTGGCTTTGGGGAGGAGGATGTGAGGGAATCACAAACACGGTGCTTTTCCTCATCAATGCTTCGGGGCTTGCAGCATCTGCCACCCCATTACTTTTCACAAATCTTGCAGTCCACCTTTTGTTTTTGTTTTTTTTTTTAATACAAAGGTCACATAAAAAACATGTCAGACTTGAAACAACAAATACTAAGCCAAATCGGCTAACGTGATATCCTTGTAAATCTCACAAATCTACACTTCTTATTTGGCATACAAAGGCCGCGTTAAAAACGTGCAGAAGTTAACATGAAATACTGGAACAAACCTTGTAATCTACCTTCTAACACATACTTTTCAACTTGCCACTCTTCGCTGCCTCACATAATGGAAGAACCAGCTAATTATCTTCGCTACCACCCCTTTGTTCCCTCTTCCCATCATTCCTTTCTTCGGCCGACTACGCCAGTCAATCCTAGGAAGAGCTCATCACTGAAGATCACGTTTTCAATAGATCACACACACATATACATGTAGTTCAATGCGCAGTTGAATGTTACACCCACTCAAGTTTGCAACTGTAATCCTTGGAGAAGGCAGTAGTGGCTCCGCAATACGCCAATCCCGTTGTTGGACATATTATGTCCTTTGGATCTTTTGTTTCTGCATTACCAATTACGCTTATACAAAGGGCGAAATAAACAGGACGCGTAATCCACGGAAGGAGAGTATTTTCAAATAACTCATCCCAAAGACCGTGTTTAAAATGTGTCTGTCTTAGCAACTACGCTTATACAAGTGGGAAGTATACAGCAGGAGCACTCCAAGGAATACTCTCAGAGAACAAACGTCCCAGAGATAACGTTCTTGGAGGGCAAATGTCTTATTTTTTCCCCTCATACAACAGCTCTTCAATAGCCTTCGTCACGTTTGTCTCATAATCTAAAGTATCTACGCTCTTTTCATGTCAAAATCCTAATGCGTCAAAGTATGCCTATTTCGTATTTTAACTGGAGAGGCCGAGATGGCCACCTTTTTCCCAAATAAAAGCGCGACAAAATATTTGCTGAATGGTAACTTGATCTCAGCCCACATCCAGTTAAATAACACTCGACCTCCAAACCTCATTTTAGCGCTCACATTCCGTAATTCCACTCCGCAGAAATGACACGAGACAGATGGCAGATTTATTATCTATATCATTTTCAAACATTAAGCACAAATGCAACTCCAAATTCTGACAGCCTATAGTGCTTAACATAATTGAAAACCCATGGTTTTAGTACGAGTGCGACAGATAACTAATGCATGATGATGACTCATGCACATAGAACCCAACGTGTTCAACATACGTGATAACAATCCACGGTTATACTACAAGAGGAACAGATAACCACAAATGACTGATCATTTTGATGCTTGAAGAATCCACTCTAAGGGGGAAAATAACGGATTGGCACTAATCCCCTATAGGCAGTCAACTGCGCAGCTTGTCATAGTTTATCTCTCCATTACTCCAAAAGACACCGAGATATATAACTGCTTTCCAAATAAAATCTCCACATATTAGTAGGCCAAAGACCTAATTAGATCAAGAGGCCCTGGCATCACTGTTATCCTTGGAAGTTTCTAGCGATGGTTTCTTCGTTGGGTTTGCTTCTTCCACAGTGGCATTCAAAGTTCGCTTAACCCCTCGTCCTACCACGCCGAGATGCGTGACTTCAGCAGATCCATTTGAATGAGCGGTGGAAACAGTTGGAGAGTCAAAACCTCCACTGCTATTAGCAGTAGCCATCTGTGAAGAACTTACTTGTGAAGATGATAGTGGCTTCCCAGCACCTGCCTTGGCAGCTGCTAATCCAAGAATCTCAGAGAGGATAGATTTTGGGTTCGAAATCAACTGTTGCAGATCTTCAAGCTGCATATGATTCAAAAGAGTCATAAATTTGATATCAAAACAACAGCACGAAAACACACTAAATATCTTCCGAAAGTTTATTGAGTCTACCTTCCTTTCCAACTCACTTGAGAGACCTGTCAGCGTGTCAATCTCTGCTTGTTTATCTGCAATTGACTTATCAGATTCAGAAGCAGTGGTTATTGATTCTGACTTAATTTCATTTGTGAGGCGGTGTATTCGTTCCTTGCAGACACATGCAGCCTTCTGGCAATATGACATTGCTTCTTGAGGCTTAGAATTAACCTCCAGACACAAACATATACGGAAATTTCTGTATTTGCCAGCTAAGGTTTCAACCTACACATTCCTAAATCACGCTGCTCAGTAATCTGCATTCAGTAATTTATTAAAACCTCTTAACTTGATTCATTTTACTGTAACATTTACTCAGGCTAAGTCTAAGTTCTTCAGTCAAGTCAAGTCGTATCACATCTCAAAACAAGGGAAGGTCATGAAAGTAACAAGGATACAAATCAGCAATTTTTCTATCGTCTGGTACAACCAGCTGCTCTAGGATGGACAATGCCTTCTTGTAATCACTGAGAGATGTTTCAAAATCCTCTGTACAGAACACAGTACAAGAAACATCCTGCTTTTAGCAAGGTCAGAGCCTTAATCCCGTTCATTCATTTTTTGGGGTTAGGGGATGAGAGAAAAGGTAAGGTTCAAACTAAATAACATGAATTTATCAGGCCAGGAAAAAAAAAAAAATCAAGAACCTCTTTCCAGTGCAACGTCTGCCAATGCTGACAATATGTCCACATGTTCCATAGTATCGCTAGAGTGCTTTTCAACAATGGCTCTTGCAATATCAAGCATTTTCCAGGCCAAATCCAGGTCAGAATCATCTTCATCACCTTCAGCTAAGTCGTCATCATCATCACTATCCTTGTCATCTTCTTGGTCTTCCTTTGTCGACACTGTTTAAAAAAAAAGGTACAGCTAATACTGAAAACCCAGTTTTCATGCAAACAACACCTCAGGGTCATGAAATAATTAAAGACATAAAACATGATGCAATCAAATATACAGCTACAGAAATGACTGCATGCTAGATTCATTCCATCAGACAAGCAACATCATCAAAGTTGGCGTGTATCTCAGCAATTTCAGAAGACACTATGACACATTTGTATTCTTAACCTTCCTAAGTTGTATAAACTGACCATGAGCTTTTTTATCGTACTATCTTACCATAGTCTTTTTTAAATCTCTCATAGCATGCACCACAGAAGGAAAGTCTAACTAGATTAGGTAACTGGCAAACCAGAATCTACCGTAAAACCTGAGGCAATACTCCACCTGCAAGCCTCATATGCCACTATGTCACTTCATCGACATTTTAGTTTTTGTTATCTCAGTTGCTTCACAAGTAAACAGCTGCGATAAATGTGTCTGAATTTGCAAATGACTGAATCTAACAGCAAATATGTTATTTTAACGTTGTGCTCTAGTAATTGCACTCGTTTCTCCATATGAAGTTATAGATTCTCAAACGTCAGGGATGAAGCCATCAAAACCTTCAAACACAAAAACAGATGGACACTTGATATAGCAATACTACATAGAAGGTGGATCAAGCAGATATTCATCGCTACCGCTCCCTTACTTGTAGTGCTACATGAACAACATGAGAAAGCAGATCACCACAGCATATTATACATAACACATTATAATATTGTAACCCTGAATAGAAGGTGCAATATTGGATACTCTTCATTCCTCCCCACCCTCCCTCTCTCTTATCTGCAATGATTAGTGACAGAGGCAGAAGAAAGCAGATCAAAATAGTATATTAAACAGGAACCCCAATGTCTCATCAAGTATAACCTGCACTTTTTCATTGAGAAATAAGTTATATATTATCATAAAAGTTACCACCACAACATCACGAGGAGGGAAAAAGCAATAACTAGAGCACTTTTAACACAAGGATGAAAGAGAAGTGAACTGCATTGAAATCTACAGATTAGTATAAACTAGAAGTGACCCACTTACCATCATCTAATGCTGCATCCTGGTTATTCGAATTCACATCCTGCTCGTTATTGCTTAAAATGGATGTTGTGGAAGATTCAGCAGCAGAATTCTTAATAGACCCATCTTTAGTGGAGCCTTCTTGAGATTCACTCTCCTTCTTCGGAACATCAGCCAAAGGATCAGCTTCCTCCTGAGCCTTGTATAGCAGCGCACACCCATATTTGTAGTAAGTGTGGACGCATTCAGGAGCAAGTTCACCAAACTTGGCAACTCTATTGATTTAAACAACACAAATAGTCATTGTAGAGCAAGCAGCCAAAACAAAACTTGCTTAACAATCCACGCATGGTTACCACAAAATGATAGCTCATAGCAGTGATAACAATTGATAATTACAAAATTAAGTGATAAAGTTGTGAAGTAGCATCAATTGACTACTACATCAAGGCTTTTAAAAAGGAAACTGGATAAGCGTATGTTCTACAGAATCAAACACATAAGTCAGTGAGGTTGACCTTTGACAAGGCACTGACATGTTTATCTCACAAAAATAAGTCAAAGCAAACTAATTAGGATTTCAATTAAAGGAAGCGTTGTCGGCCATAATTGAATAAACAAACACAGGCAGCATTCGCATGGCAGTCTGTCCTTCTGAGAATTTGATGTGTAACTCATAAAAGAAATATTAGACACTTGTCAGTTAGTAGTCAGGGATATGAGAGGAATAAACATAGTCAGGATAGCGTCTATATACATAGGACGTGTAAACCTGAAAATGGTATGTTTTTTGAGATATCATTCTGAAGTTAGTCTCTTTCTCTTATTTTCTCTTTCTCTGTCTTTCGTCTCTTCCCTTCTGTTTCCTTCTATCTTTCTTTCCTATTTCTTCTGTTTTTCTTCCATTTCTCTCTCTCCTCTACATTCCTACGCATCAGAATTTCACTAATCTTATTCCCATTCTTATTGTATAAGGGTTAACCGCCACAGCTTCTACTCACAACACTTAAGAAGTCAAGTTTACCAATTAAGCACCGGTCACCCGGACTCCATATAAGAAACGATTGAATTGAAATGACCAAACGAATGAATATTCCCAATGGATTGGAGAAAACATGACCGAAAAATGAAAGGAAAGAACCAATGGGAAGCAGTAGGATAAGTATTTCTATTTCCCGCAGTTTCTTCCGGAACTAAATTCCAGGGAAACGACAAGAAAAACGATTTTACAGCAACCAATAAAAAATGAAGGCTCAACCTGATCTCCAGAGCACGGCTAAAGCTCTCAGCTGCCTCGCTGAAATCGTTCTCTTTCATTGCCTTGTATCCCAGCTGGAACAACTCATCCGCGTATTCCAGGGACTTTTCACGATCGACGTCGGACGCCGGAGCCGAAGTTTCAGCAGCGTTGTGATTAGTGATGGTTGATTCTGTGCTGGTATGGGCGCTGGAGTCCGTTTCTAAGGCGGCTTCCTCAGAGGTGAGGTTTTTGTCACGTGCATTGGGGTTTAGGGTTTCCTCGACCTTTTGGGATTCGGTTTGTTCGGCCATGGCTGCTAAAGTGTAGGTGTTAGTGCTTCTTCCACCGAGTTTTGCTGTAGACGGGGAAGAAAGAGTATACTTTTGTCCCTTCTGCTTCAGCGCGAGGTCTGCACTAGCTGGGTGTCTCTCTTCTTTGCGTACTTCAAAACCTCTTGGGGCGGAAATGGCACTGACACATATTCGAAAAGTTCGGGTCGGAAAAAAGTGACCCGATAAAGAACTTTACCCGCGTCGTTCAACAACCAGCTTGAAAATGGCGCAAATCATGTATGGCGGGATGCAATAAGCATTATGAGCCCAAAAACATAGCAATAAAAGAATCGCAGCAGCACTAGACCGAGTGCATGTATAGCTTTCCCTTAATCAAAAATCAATTTGTCAAGTTCGTTTAATAAAAATTAATTTATTTAAAATTAATTATTATAATAAAGTTTACATTTAAATATATTTTTAAAAAAACTAATTTGATAAACTAAAATTTATTTAAATTATATATAATAAAAATAATTTTTGAATGTATTATCACCTTAAAAGGGAGATTGATTTTTATAATTTATAATATTTATTATACAAATACAATATATTAAAAATGTTTGAAAAATACTCCCTCCGTTAAAAAATGTAAGGTATTTTTAGCCAAATTTTACCCCCAATAAAGTAGTTATCTACTTTTAAACTAATCCTATCTTTTCATATTTACACTTATTAAATATCTTATAATAAATATAAAGTAATTATTAATAGAGGCACTTTTGGAGATAAGCAATGATTACACCTCGAAAGATTAAACATAACTTACATTTTTTAACATTTAACTTTTTCAAAAATTCTTTATATTTTTGAATGGAGAGAGTATGTGATAAAAATTTTAAATGACATAAAAACTGATATGTTAAATAATAAACATATAAAATATAATATTTGATATATTAGATAAAAATTATATCAATAGTTGAACAATAATACTGAAAATTAAAATTATTAATAAATAACAACCTGATAAGATGGGAGTTTGGATTTGCCTGAGCACAAGATGATAATATCCAACACACAGATACACTTTTGGAATCCACTTTTAAAAGAGAATAAATTGGGTCACTAGCCTAAAAAAATCTTGTATCTAAAAAACATAGACTAAATTTTTAAAAATTTAAGAATATAGCCAGTTTATATTAATATATAAAAAATTTATAAAAAATTTATCATTTATACACAACGGTATATCATTGACAAATATAATAAATTAGTCATAATTTAAAATATAATAAATATTAAATTATTTATTTTGTTTGGTTTTATAACATGAACTATGTCTGTAAAAACTCCTTTAAAAAACATAGGAAAAATTAATCTTTTAATCTTTCAACTTTTAATTCATTTATAACTCAATCCCTTGACTATGACTCACTATGACTCAATTCCTTAATTATAACTCGTATATGATTCAATCCCTCAACTTTTGAATCACTTACAAATTAGTTCCTAAACTTTTGTTAATTTTTTTTTATATTAGCTTATAACTCATATCAATGGGTAAGGGGAGAATATTTTAAGATAATATATGAGCATTTTTGTATCCCTCTTATTTGATAAAAAAATTTTAAAAAAATTAAAAAATAAGGACCGAGTTATAAGTGAATCAAAAGTTGAAGGACTAAGTCACAGCAAATTATAGTTGAGGGATTGAATTGTTACGAATTATAGTTGAGAGATTGAGTTACAAGTGAGTTAAAAGTTGAAGGATTAAAAAATTAATTTTTTCAAAAATCTATCATAAGTTACATTTGAAAAATTTAGTTTTAGCTACCTTCAGGGTGCATTTTTAGAATGTGCATTCTTTTTTAAAAAAATTTTACCAAACTACTTTCAACTTTTTGAAAGTTCCAAAAAGACTTTCAAAAAGTTAAATCAAAGTTATCCAAACATGTGTTGACTTCCATATGCTTATTTTCATTGCAATTAAAAAGAATGAATGATGGTTAGTTTTTAATAATTTTTTAAAAAAATAAATTATAGATATAATTATAAATTGAAAATATTTAATTACATATAAGATATTTAAATTTTAAATATAACTTTCAATTTGCAAGAAAATTGTTGTCAATAACTATATAAATAAATATTTATCACTCATCTTTTAAATTTAAATATCAGGAATCTAACTATCATTTATTACTTATTTTGAAACTTTATTGTCATCATTCTGTTTTTTTATTATATTTAAGATTATTTTAAAATATAGTAAATATATCATTGGATAATAATGCTATAATTAAAATAGTTATAGTGTTCAGTAAAAATAAAATCATGTATCTTTTATGCCGAGGTTTCTAATGAAGTGAACACTAGTCCCCAATTCACGTCTTCCTTGATTCAAGGTTACCATTAAAAACCTAAGTGTTATGATACCATTAAAAACTTGCTTGAAAAGTAGTCATGCACTCTTGCATGCAGAGAATGTTGTCAAAAAATCAAAACCAAAATCTCAACCATGGATATTGCTCAGCATCTTCAGTGAAAAACGAAAGAAACAGGAAGAGCATTTGAGCTGGTGGAGCGCGGCTGTGAAGATGGTGGCTGGTTCGAGGAGATGGCTCGCGATGACAATGAGGTGGATAGTGTATGAGATTATTGGATCTGAGAAAGGAGTGAGAAGAGGAGAGGACCATAATGTTAAACATGTAATTTTGACATCCTAGGGTGATTTCACAGTGGGAATGCTCATTCCTCTCATTTTTGGACATTTACAAGTATTTTTGTTTATATTCATACATAACAAGTAGTTAAAAGATTTTTTTTTTTAACATAACGAATTAAAAGGACAAATAAACTGTGTTGGTGTAGGTAAATTTAGGCTTACACTTTACATGGGAATTAGGTACTATCTGTAGTTTTCTGCATGAACATTTCAAATCCAAATCAACGGTGATATTTTATATCGGACCTCGTTAGCGTACATTGTAGCTTCCCGTCCAAAATTAATAAGCAAGACTACACAAGTCATTGAGCCACATTTCCCAACAAGCTATTCGAAGAAGGCGAGCTATGTCCACTTGACCAGGGGTCATGTACCGACACAGGGGAGCTATCCCTTACCTCTGCCCTCTCTGCAACAATCAATCTCTCGCTCTCTACTCGTTCTTCATTAATTTGAACATCACTAAGTGGTTTCTCACTTTTATCTGCTAGTGATGAACGCACCGATCCCACCGATGATGCCACACACAAGGTTTCGTCGATGGTTACCCATCCACTGCGTCTAATGTGGTCTAGCTCCTCTGCCACTTCCATCATGGTAGGCCTCATGTCACTATGAAAAGCAAGGCACCTGAATGCAAGCTCAGCCACTTTGTGAACGGAATAGAGTGTCCAAGCATCTCTGTGCGGCTCTAGGAAGGGATCTATGATCTCGTCCACACAACCCCTCCTTATTCTATCGACAGCCAGTGCGGCCAAATTAACCTCATTGTGAGGTCGACCAAAGTCAACCACTTTGAGGGCTGTTATTATCTCTATCAAAACCACTCCGAAGCTATAAACATCACTTTTATCAGAAAGATGGTAATTCTGGTGATACTGAGGATCCACGTAGCCTGGAGTCCCTTGCGGGGCAGTTGAGATATGTGATATTTCGGTCATTCCAAGCCTGGAAAGCCCAAAGTCTGCTACTTTTGAATTGAAGTTGTAGTCCAGCAGTATATTGCTGGATTTGATGTCTCTGTGATAGATTGGAGGATCAATGGCAGAATGGAGATATGATATGGCATTAGCAGTTTCGGTGGCGATGGTGAGCCTAATCGTCCACGGAAGCCCTTTACCGTTCTCTCTCTGTAAATGCTGAGACAACGTTCCATTGGGCATAAACTCATAAACAAGAATCTGTTCACCATCCTCTATGCAGCAGCCCAGTAGACGAACTAAATTTGGGTGACTGACAGAAGAAAGGAGCTTGATTTCATTCATGACCTGGTCAACACTATCGGGGTCTCTCTGTCTTATTTTTTTAATCGCAACGAAATCATCGTTGTGGAGTTTTCCTGCATAAACTGTACCAAAAGCCCCAGTTCCAAGCCTCTGTTTCTCTGAGAAAAAATTCGTCGCTCTCTCTATTTCTCTGTACGGATAGAAAGGAACACTAGAGTTGCCTGCAGCTTCACGCAATAGGCGCTTTACAGTCATTTGCTTCTTCAAACAGTAGGAACGGCGACGTACATAATAACCTAGGAGACACAGAATTGCCATTATCAAAGCTCCCGCAATGATCCCTGTAAGCACAGTAAGAATCGTGTTGGTCAATCAAAAAAACTTTTATGTATGACCTGACGAAATTAAATAATCAAGTTGGCTACAAATTAAAGGGGAGGTTGTACCTCCAGCAAGAAAACCGACTTTAGCTGCTGTCCCACATCCTCCAGAGCTCAGTGTCGAAGCGTTGCAATTAGAAACTGAAGAGACAGTAACAATAGAAAAAGAAATAAGCAGAGAGATATTAGAAACAGGAAGCTCTAAGCACGCAGCACGTACGCCTCCTAAGTTTTAACCAAACTCCATAGACTTGCGAGTTATAAGCAATTAGTAAGGCCCAAAAACAGGATATCTGAATTTATTCAAACACTGCTCATGATCTTCATGCTATGATTTATTTTACTGAGTCTCCCATGTCTCGACTCTCGCGTACGAATAGGGATTGTGCTCAGACAGCTTCGATTTGAATTTGTTTTATTAGTCGTCAAAATAGACATAAATTTTTGACAAACAAATAAACATTATTTAAAGCATGTCGGCGATGCCCTGTGCATTTTTCCCACGTTGTGAATGCATTGTCTCTGATCCTCGCTTTTGGCCAGCTCAGAAAAAGTTTGACGTCTGAACACATCTTACCAGACACGTGCTTATCCTAATCTCGATCCATACTAGACGAGCAGCTACAAAATTTTGACCTTTCAAGCATTCTTTATTTTGCAAGTTAACTCTCTGAGCAACAATGCACATTTTCTGGCCAAGGACCAAATTGATCCAACGGTGCTATCTCCTCCCTAGCAAGGAGAGCACTCGGGTTCAATCTAGCCCGTAGAAGTGCGTGTGTTGTGATTGTCTTAAAAACTTTCTGGGCAAGGGCAACTAATCAAACAAAGGAGAGAGGAATAGAGCCTCTAGCTAATATTCAAAGTGATAAACGTTGATATTCCGCAGCAAAGGTTGAAATGCCAAATACGACCCAACAAATCAAATGTCACCTTAGTGACCCTTGCATAAAGCACACCCTAATCATTTCATTATTCCCAAACTAAAATAAATGCCCGTTACCATCATTAATGAATCACTAGATCATCCATTACCGTTATATTATTATATCTATCCATGAGAATCAAAATATAAAATAATAGTAAACTCACCTGATCCCCGGCAACCGGTGCCATTCAAGAACCCATCTCCGTGATAACCTTCAAGGCAGTGACACCTAAAACCGAACTTTCCGGGAGCGACGTTGACATTTGTACACGTGGCATTGGGAGAGCATTGGCATTGGCCTTCAAGCCACCACGCCAGCTCTAGCGTCTGAAACTGGAGCGAAACCTCTGGGTCTTCCTCTTTCCTCTGGTCAACAGCTATAGACGAGAACAAGAATTTGCACCCAGTTTGGATCACATCCTCGAATCTCAGAACATCAAAAGCTGCCAGGCCTGGGCCTCGCGTAAAGCAACTTATGTTATCACTTCTGTTATCGCAGCCATCCAACTGTATCTGATTGCTCATAAAACTTGAGGTGGGTATAACGCAGCCGCCAAGCGCAGATGTACAATTTTGCACGAGAAGGCTGTTGTTCACTATGGGAGCATAGTTCGTGGTGAAAAGGGGCTCAATGGATTGCAAAGTGCGGTTGCATTTCGCTGGAAGATGGATGGATATGCTGCTAGACGTTAAGTTCTGAACCAGAAACTCCCTAATTTGCATTTGGTCGCTGCTACAGTTCAGTTGGATTTGGCTACCTTCGGAGAACCCAAAAGGATACGGCAAGGAATTTCCTCCGCACGTGTTATGGTGCGTGCTCTTGTTTTCGGCTTTTGTTGAGTGAATCATCAAGAGTGTGAGAAGAATAGAAAACCTTTTCCGGTAACGAAACATTGTTGGATGCAAACTGAACTGGTATTGGACCAGACAAGAAAATCATCAGCTTCCGCAACCAAATAAAAGAAACCAGAGTTGTTGCCGGAGACTCGACTCAAATTATGAATTCTGATTCCTTAAATTAGAAAATCTCAACTGTGAGTATCTGATTGAGTTGCCTATTAAATGAGAAGTAAAAGCCTGCCATCGTTTCCGTTGGGCAGCCATCAATTTCAATAAATGCTCAAAAATGAAAATTTGAATTTCGTTTCAGTTCTAAAGGGATGGTCGTGAACTAATAAATCATACCTTGAAGCTTCTGCAATGGTTGATATGAATTGCTGCGGCAGAAATATCTCGCTAGCCGAACATAACGAGTTTGAATACGGAAGATAATAAATTTTCATTTAAGAAGGAAAGGAAAAGAGAAAAGCGGCAGATTTTTAAAGTTGTTCTCCGGCAACTGTGTAAAAACTAAAAGGGTCGGGCCTAAAATAAAACGAGAGATAGGAAGGCAAGTCGCAGATTTGTTCGAGCGGTCGCGTCATTCCCACTTGGAGGACCCATCATGGAATGCAGACAGTCAGTTTTGTAGGATTTCAGTCAAAAGACGAATATAGCCTTCACCTCAGCAAAATATATGTCATCCACCAGTCCGTGTTAAACTTAATTTGACATTAATTTATTAAACGCGGGATTCATTATTGACATTAGTATAAGAGAGCAGGGATAGAGATATACCCTGGGAGCGAAGGTCAGGGGAGGAGACAGCGATGGCGAAAAGTCGTATACATAGGGGGTTGACTCCCGTGGCTCTCTGTGTAACCTGAGCCCCACCCAACAGTTGCAAAACCAGCTCTTTTTAAAAGAATACTAAGACCCTAATACTAACGATGACGATGCTGATGACGATGCTATTAATGATATCTTTCTCCCCAGCCAAAATATTTGACTAGATTTGCTCCTGATATCTCCAAATCTCTGGATTTTGGACCCAAAACGATGATGACTATTCAATCTTTATCTCTCGCCAATTTGACAATTTTTACATGTAATCCCCAGTTAAAGATATCTTACAGCTGGTACACTGTACACCCATCCTCAGGCGGGGCTCATGGATATGTGTAGGACAAGCCCCGTAAAATATTAATAATATCCATTCTAGTATCAAGGACCAGAATGGATACCTTGCCAGAGGAATGCCAGATCTGTAAGATGCCATTGCCGGTATAATATTTATATGTAGAAGGGATCAACATATAATAATATAATAACGAACGAGAGAAAGGAGGGATGTGATGATGGGCCTCCGGTTTCCATGCTCACCAATTATACAGATTAAAATTTTCAATGGTATAAATTTACTTGTTTTTATTTTTATACTTTATTTATTTTTATTAAAATAAAAATTATAAATTTTAATAAATTTTTTATATTATCAATTTAGATAATATAAATTTAATTTGGATTGTTCAATTTAATATTAAATATTTTTATAATTTTTATAAATTGATCATTTTGATATATTTTGTACCATTTTGATCTAGAATTTTTAAGTTGTAACTTTTTCTTAATTTTTTAAAAAGACAATTTTAATATTATCTATACTTTTATTTTTTAATGTTAGATTTATTAAAACAAAAATTTATAAAATTTATAAAAAAAGATTAATCTGAAATCTAGACTGAACTAATTAATTTATAAAAGTTATAAAAAATTAATATTAAATTAAATCTATATTGTTTGTTGATGAGATAAATTTATTAAAATTTTATAATTTTTTATAATAAAGATAAAATAAAAATTTAAAAATCAAAACAGTCTAAATAGTCGTCCAGTAATGAGCTTCCGAATCTAGACGTGATGATAGTGACGGTGAGAGGAGAGATCATAAAAAGGATTGACCGGAGCATAAAATGGGGCGTGTTGTGCGCGGACACCGACTCACCACCATTAATCTATCGCCTTCTCAAGCATCAAGCGGCAACTTTTATTATGTTTTGACACGCTCCCACTTTTTTCATTTAAATTCAAGTACCAGAAACATGGGTGACATGGGTGGTAGGACCCAACCAAAACTTCCCTATTTACCTTCTGACAAGCACCGATTTGAGAGCTCGCAATGGTTGACTCGTTGATAGGCCACTGCATTACACTTTGATGACATGATTTAGTTTTGAGTTAATTCTTTTTAAAACAATAACCAATAAGGAAATAAAAAATAAAACCCAGTCTTTGTCAAAATCTTATAAAGAGGATCAGAGTCAGAAACAGAAGGAGGTGATGGTTGCGTAGGGTGGCGCAAGTGGGGAGATAGAACCCACCCATCCGGGTGAATTAGTTAGAAGAACATGTTCCTCAAAAGCAAATAGTATTGTGAGTCAGCCCACCGGAACCAAGCCCTTTTCCCCGACTCATGTCACGTGTGCAGTGGCTGTCTTGATAACACAGGCACGTGTGTTTACGTGTCCTTCCAGTCTATTTACAATCCATCGTGTCTCGTTTGGAGTCCATCTACGTTGCTCCGTTGTATTTATGATACGCCTTCAAGACGGCGGTGACCTTTCGGCATTTTACTCTTTTTATAAGAAACGGGTCAATTGGATTGTCCGTTTCCTGATTTCCCGACGGGTGAATTGGGATAATGGGAATTTTCTACTGCCATGTCGACCCGTGTTTTTTTATTTGCCTCCGGATTTGGTTTGGTTGAAGCTGAAAGCAATTTGTGCTTTAAATTGATACAGCATCGTAGAGAAAGAAACGAAATATAAAAATTAAGAAAAATACTCTCTTCATCTTAAATTATAAAGCACCTTTAAAAAAAATTTTTAATCCTAAAATATAAGACATTTTAAATAAATTAAAATTTTATTAAATACATAATTTTAGTATCACTATTTCTCTCTTTATAATTAATATTCATTCCCTCTTTTTTTAATATATTAAATTATGAATACTTTTAAAAGTTTGTATTTTTATTTTAAAAAATAAAATTATTAAATATATTTAATAAAATTTATTGATGTGTGAGATTTTATTTAAAAATATTTTATAATTTAAAATAAAAAAAGTAGTTAATAATGCGAAAAGGGCATTTCGATTTGATAATACCAACATAATGTCAAAATGCGTGCAGCGGTAGCGTTAGGCAAACAACTCGAGCAACGTGAACGTGAGCAGGGGCAGTGACTTTGTTTGGCTATCAATTATTATGTCCACGACATTCTAGCATACCTCAGGTAGCTGAGATGGAACCGCGTGGTCGGTTGGGCCTCCTACTGATCAGAGAACATCTTATCAATTTTTTTAATTTAAATATTATTCGTCCCATATAATAATTTTCTATATCAATCATTTGTATTTAAGTAAATTAATGTGATGATCGTAAAAATTATACTTCCCATAAATTATAAATAAAATATTTAAATATTTTAAAATATGATACATTTATAAAATTAACTAATAATATTTTTTTATTCACAAAAATATATTATTAAAATACACTACATAAATTGATCCACGAATATATTTTCTATAACTAACAAATAATTTTAATCTTTAACTAATTAAATCAAATCCTTGTACATATGTTCATTATATTTTTCTTCTTTTCATAATAATTTCTTCCCTTTCTTGGTGGGGCGAAAGAATCAAGGTGATATTCATATATTACTTTTTTATTGTCCTAACAAGTGCATTCTTTTATAAGAGATGTCCAAACATGAGTAGTTTAATTTTGTGCCTTTGCAAATGAGTCTCATTGCTAGGCTTCCTTATGTGAAGATGAATGTAAACCCATAACTTTCATTGCATATGAGTATTTGATTATTTGTGATAAACTAAGATATTCGTAATTTTTACAGCCTATGTTTGATTTGTTATGAACAAATAATTATGTTTTTTTTGTGTTTTTGATTCACGATAGTATATCATTATATACCATTAATAAATTATATCAGTAAAAACTTATTAACACTGTTTAATCTTGTAGATATGGAGATGTTTAATCTTATCATTTTTTATAGTAGAAAATAAAATTAATTAGTTTAAGTATTTGATTTCTTATGATAAGTTAAGGTGTTTAGAATTTTTTATGGATTGCATTTGATTTGTTTCAAGCAAATTATTATTATTTTTCATGTTTCTAATTTACAATAGTATATCAATGATATATAGTTATATATCACTGATATGGGATGCTTAATCTCATCATTATTTTTTTGAAAGAGTGTCAAATGAAGCACTGTTCTGTTTTTGAGTATTTGAAAGAATGTTTTTGTCTAAAAAATATATATTTGAAAGAAGGTCATATTATTTACAAAAAGGATAATTTTATCATATAAAGTTCAACTAAATATAAAAATGGCCACAATGTAAAATATATTAAATATTAGGTTGTTTATTGAGTTTGATTCTATAAAATAAGCTATATATATAAAAGCACCTTATTATCATTTTATAATATTTCATCACATTTAAAATTCAGTGTAAAAGTTAGAGAATTGAACAATACACCTTATTTGTCCAATATAAAATTAAAAAACCAAGATTAAATTTTGTGTCAACCTAGATAATCAAATATGCACTTTTACTTATGTGATTTTAATTTTCATTTGAGTAAAATATTTACTAACTACTTCATGGTTTTAAAAAAAGTTAGTTGAAAAATTAATATTTTTAAAAAATTGTTTACTTTTCAAGTTATAATCCCATTAAATGCTAGCATCATAGCATCCCACGGCGTTATATAGGATCAATAGTCTATCTCATACCTGTTATTATTAAGAGTTATTTTATCAGGCTTTATTTTAGAAAAAATGATAAACAAATCCCTCCAAAATAAAAAAAATGATAATTTTATCTTGTGAAATGTAATAATGCTTTCTAAGTCTCAAGGACCTAATTGTCACTAAATTTTTTGCTAAAATGACAAAAACACCCCTTAATTTAAAAAAGTGAAGAAAAATGATGAGAAAAAATTATAAATAACTAAACCTCTTTAGTTATTTATTGAACCAGACTAGCTAAATTTTAGAACCAAAATTGTAAACAAGAAAACTTTGTTGCACTTTGCCAGTTGAAAAAAATGGTAAGAGAAAGTCATGAATGCCTAAATTATAGTATCTTGGATTTTAATTTTTAGATTTAATTAACTATTCAAGGGTAATTAGGTAAAAATTAGGTGTTAATTAATTTAATAATGGCTAGTGATGGCTCATGGGCTAATAGTTTTAGGTATAGCTTTTAAACTGAGGTTGGAGGCAAAGTGTGCCACTTGGCTCCAAATAAAGGAACAAAATTATGAAGGCCCATTCTATGCCATCCACTTTGACAGATACACCATGTGTCACATGAACAACCTAGATTTTTAAATTTAAAGTTTTAATTGTTAAAAGGATTAGAATAACAAAATTGAGTAATTGATGAACTAATGATGTTTTGGGGTTGCTATTAAGATTGTTGGACCTTCGGATAGTTTTGGAAATGGACTAGGATGGTGTTTGGGTCAATAGGCCCAAGTGTAAGGCCCAAAATCTCCTCAAGCCTTGTTGTGTTGTCCGTCACAGTTGATGAGGCTAACTTTGGTTAAATCGGGTGTGTGCAGACAGAAAAGGATGAAG